ACATACACACGCACACACATACACACACACACATGCATGCGTGCATGCATGCACAAATACAATCAGGCATACATACAGCCAAACATACAGACATACAGCCATACAGACATGCATACACGCACTCGTCACTACATGTAGAAAGGGATAGAGCAGAGGGAGAGAGAGGGGGCGGGAGACCAAGAGAGCCACAGCGGGGGGGTTGACAGTCACCCATCGAGCGAATGCCGTTGCCAGTGTGTTCTAACTTCCGGCTCCTTCTTCTTTGCTCCTTTGGTATACAAGTAGCAGCATCTCTTCTTGGAGTACATCCCTGACTGGGAACCATAGTTCGGAACAGCCCGAATGTCAAAGCACGGTTACAGTAACGGAGGATATTATTTCTCCTCCGCTGTCTTGTTCCTCTGCTTCGGGACATCAGCACAGCCCACGCCGAGGCTTTCGGGTTTGCAGGTGCCCCCTCAAGCCCATGACCCTTTGTTTGGGATGCTTAGGTGGAATCCGGCAAGCCTTTTGCTTTAAGGGTGGAGGGTTTCATGAACCGTAAAAGCCACAATACAATTAGAGCGACACAACCCCTCCGTTTCTGGTCTGACTGCTGGTTCTCCTCCGTAACTTTCCGCACGTCTTTGGTTGAAGTTCGGTGTTTCTGGAAGACCCTGAGGCTTGGAGAATTGCCGTGTTGCTTTTGGGTTGAGGGCTGAGGGATCTAAAGCCAGAAGCCTGTTACCCCAACTAAGCCAAGGCGTGACACATTTTTGCATCTGCTCGAACCCCCTTGGCTTTTCATATTGGCGTAGATTGGGTTTTAGAGGGTCAGACCTGTAGTCTCCATTGTAGTTCCTTTTTGGGATACCTTATAGAATCCTTAATATATACTCGGTTAAACCAAAAAAGGAACTACAATGGAGACTATAGGAGTCATGAGACTTTTAGCTTCAACCGAGAGCCCTGGATTCCAAAACACTGAGTCACAGTGAGCCTCAACTGCAACCGATGCTTGGTATTGTCGGTCCTTGCGCAGGAGCTCTTGACGATCCCCAAAGAAGCATGGATTATTCCGGAAAGGGCCTGTTCCTCACCTTCTGTTGCTTGCACACTTAGTGCAACTTTGTGGCTCGGGGGTTCGTTTAGTTGTCAGGGTCAGCTACATGTCAACAATTCAAGAACAAATATGACAAGTTCAAAAAGACGAGGCTTGGCTGCACCAGGGATAAACCCTGGGAACATCAAAAAGCAGTCGCAAACAACAAGCCCCGAATGTCTACTACGACTTGTTCCAGATTTTGCATTGCAACTTGACTCAACAACAAACTACGGAAAACACACATTTACGGCTTGTTGGAAAGGAGGTTTGCCACAATCGTTGCTGCAGTCGTTCCGGCTTATCCAATCGGCCTCCGAAGGCTTCCTGTCAGGGCGAGAAACTCAGGGATTTAGGGTTTAGGGCTTTGGGGATTTAGGGTTTTAGGGATTTAGTAGGGTTTTAGGGATTTAGTGTTTAGGGTCTAGGGTTTAGGGGTTCTTGCGTCTGTCCATTTTTCGCAGTTCGCAGGCAGGTAGCAGGTGGGAGCCAAGGAACTGCTGCGCAAAGCCAAACGGAAGACCCCAAAACCATAGGCCTAAATCCTACAACAGAACAAACCACACGGCTTCCTGCAAGCCGTGAGCCAAAACCTTCAAGGCTCCCCCGCCCCACAGCTCCCACCGCCCGCCGCCCCCACCTGCACCACCACCGCTCAAAATGAGCACGCACGGTCTATACCCGCAAAACCTTACAAGATCCTCATCCAGACAGCCTCGTGGTGAACATCTGCCCTGTCCGAGTGTGTGTGTGTGTGTGTGGTGTGCGTGTGTGTGTGGTGGGTGTGTGTGTGTGTGTGTCAAAGAGAAACCCACCAACAAGAGCTGCAGCGCCAAACCATTCAAGAAACGCAATTTGACTTCCCCAAAGGGTCCTAAGTACCTATATGGTAGAATGTAAGGTTTCTATATTAGGAACTACTATGATGATTTGGGGCAGTATTCCCCATAACAGTACCTAGGACCCTTTGACTCCGTGAGGTCGAAGACCTGGGCTCCTTGGAGCACTTGGCCTGGCGATTCCTCAAGGAACTCTGGGCGGAGGCGCGCCGACTCGGTTTGATTGATGTTTGGTGATAGTCCATGATGGTTTCAGACGCGGCCTGGGAACAAAGATTTGAAATTGTAGGATTTTGGGAGTGGGGGTCATGTGGTTTCAAGTGTTGGATTTGTTGGGGTGCTGTGGGGCTGTGAGGCCTTAGGTGGTTTCATACGGGTTTGGGTGGGCTTTCTGCGATTTTGTAGGGCCATGTAGGTAATGTAGGTGTCATGAGGCTTTTACAGGGGCCTAGTTGCTTACCCTCAACCCGAAGTTCGTAGACGTAACGTAGGCAACATCGTTTGCAAGAGGTGTGCCATGGTAGGGACGGCGATTGTGCTGTCGCTCGGATGCTTTGTCACTTTAAATTCTGTCTCCTAGAAATGCATACTTTTTTGTTATCAATACCCCCGTCAACCCTGAGCCAGTTGCGAATTCAGCAACACTGCACAGTTGCAGGACGACTCGGACTATGCTCCGTTCGCAGTGGCCTTGGATGCGTGGATTGCGATCTGGTGAATGAGGGTGCGCATCGCCACTGTTCGATATACATTCCCGGTGCTGCATAGTACAATAGATTGGACACCGAGTTGTGTCAAGAGATGGGCTACCGTGCTAATCGTAGTAGTAATGAATCCTACAGAACGGGTTGCATAGTAATTATTACGCGGACATGGCTGTTCTTGACGGTTCCCCAAGGCTTCAGGAGCGCATCTCGAGCCGTAAGTAGCTAGGAAAAGGCCCTACAGACTTTGTGTGGTTCGGAATCCACACCAAAACCGACCATAAACTCCAAAATCCCCGTGCCCAGGACACCTAACTTTGCCCTTCTTTAAACCGGAGAGCTGAATTGATGAGCTGCTGTCAACAAGAGCTTTCCTCCGCTTTTAGCATCTGGCACAACGCGGTGAGCGGGCCCGTAGCACGGGCCAACTTCGTGCCTTCATCATGGGTCTTGAGGGCGGCTGCATGCAGCATCTATGTTGAATGGCGGGGGGCGAGCATGGTGTATCCACTCGCCGCCCAGGTGCGACAGCTTCGTCAACAGGACCGGGTTCATGGAAGCTTCATTGAGCTATGGAAGCCCTACTTTTAGGAACGATGGATTTTAACGATCACCCGTTTGCCCTGAGGCCTCCCTGCACTTCGGCTAGCGGCTAGTGTGACCCTCGAAGCATTCTCAACTTCCCTATAGTGATCCTCTAAGTCTTTTTCTGAGGCCTCTCGCCGATTTCTTGAGTCTTCGATTCGCTTGCGACGTTGGAGGCTTTAGGGCCTTGCAGATCTCGAGGCTGATGTGATGATGCAGAGTTCTGTGGTCTTATGAAATGCTGACTCACCGGTCAGATTCTTGTGAATACTCCCCGGCTCCCGAAGCCGGATGTTGGTTAGAGGGGGCCGCATTGCTTCCGGAACCTACCAGGCTTTATCTGGTCGGTTTACAAAAGACGCATTGCAACACAGAAGTCTCACTAAGCAAACCGAGCCGCATCCTATTAGTTGTGTAGACACGGCACAAGATCCCTACGCTTGAACTATGCTTGGCTTAGCACTTGCACTCCGGCTTTTTCAGCAACTTATGGCAGGGCCCTGATCCGAGTCACCGGATCAACGCTGCCAGGACCTGTCCTCACATCCGATCTTTTGGGAGGAGACCTTTGCGATCGGAGGGGCTTGGTAGAGGGACCCCAAAGCTTCGCTATCGTTCTAATCCCAAAGCTTGACATACAGCTTACTGTAGTGCCGGTGCATTCTGCGCCGTGGATGTGGGTTTTTGATTGCCGGGCTTCATCGCTACAGGGCTCAAGCTGAGGTTGGGAAATTAGCCGCACTGGCTCATGGGTTCATTCAAGGTAAGGTTGGCGGCCAGCCCTCCCCGCGCCCCTTTCCACCCTCTGGCCCTGCCTTTGTGTTTTTTTTTTTCCTACGTTTCCTGCTCACTCCTATGTTTCTCCTCTCCATTCTATTATTCCTATTTCTCGCCTGGTTTCCTATGTTGGAATCGTACCCTTCATTCCCCTATCTTTTCCGCATATTCCTGCAAACCTGTGCTTCCCCTAGATCTCCGCCAAAAAAAGGGTTTTGGAGGTTCTCTAGGATTACCACTACTGAGTCGGATATAAGCTGATGACAAAGAACACCCCCGAATGGTGTTGGTAATTATTATAGG